AAGTAGGATGGTGTTTGTGAGACCAATGGTTGGAGGAAGAAATCAACATATTCCCCAATCTTAAAGCATAAAGACCCGATGCCACTCACTATTGGTCTGCCTGGTGGTTTAATGGGGTCTTTATGAACTTTCGGCAGTATGTATAGGACTGGCAACCTTGGGGTTATTGGGCATAAAAATGCTTTTTCTTTTTTGTTTAAAATGCCCTCTTCATAACCTCTATTGATAATATTTTTCAGGGAACGTTTATATTCCACCATAGGGTCTTTAGGTAAAAGGGTGTAGGTGGTCTTATCACTCAAGATGTTATTCACCTCCTTTATATAGTCATCTTTTTTAAGAATCACAACGCCACCACCCTTATCAGCTGGTCTGACTACCAGATCCTTCCTTTCAAGTAACAACTTAATAGCCTTCTGATCTCCTGTTTTATCGAAAGACTTTTTAAAAGGTATGTCCCTTAAATCCTTCAGGACCTTATCCCTGAATACATTCACATAGGAGTGGGCCTGAGGAGGGGGATTGTAGGTCGATGCGTTATGCAAATTAGAGTGGGTGAACTTGTCAGTGGTCATGTTTTTAATAATAGGGTTAGTTGCAAAATATCTCTTAAGTGATAGTTGTCGTGTAAATTTGTGTATGTCCATATAAGTGTCAAATTTACTCAAACTTCTGGAAGGGGCATATTTCAATCCCTTATCCAATAGTAGTAACTCATTATCTGTTAATTTTGTTCCACTAAGGTTAAAGATCCCTTGTCCTTTTACAACTTTCTTTTCTTGGGGGTGTCTATTCGTTCTCTTTCCTCCTCTCTTTCCCCTCCGGTGTCCCTTCTTTTGCGCGTTGTGCCTTCCCCTAAAAAAGGCTGTTTTGGGTAATTGGTTTGCTGTTGGTTATGATTATATCCCGAGTTTGGTGGCGGTGCCCTATAAAAATTATTATTATTATGGGAGTTTTTATTATTGTATGTTGGTTGTTGCCAATAATCTCATAATCTCATAAGATGTGTGTATATTAGCCACATATTTGTTCCCTGGGGTCTGTGGCTGGCTAGCTTTTAGCTAGACCTGAATGGTTAATGGGATTAATCTCCCTGTCCCTTCTATTCTGCTAGTAGTATCGTGGATCCACGGCAAAATGGCGCCGTCATTAACGTGCATGCGCACTGTCTGAAACTTCGGGAAGATGGCCGCGGCTAACTGCGCACGCGCCGTCTTCCCCTACATAAACCTTCGACGTCAGTCACGCCTCTGTACAGCCTCCCCTCTGATGATGTGCATAGCACGAAAGGCCTAAGGAGGAGCTGTGCAGAGCGTGACGTCATTCGAACCGCCGGAGCCACGAGGAGGCTCGGCGGACATCTTTACTAGGGTCAGTATTGCTACTTTACTATTCTTTAACCTTTTATGGGTCTGGATCTGCATGCTACCCTGTATTTTATGCTGAAGCAAATACATTTTTTCCTAAACATACTACACTATCTCTGGCACCTGTTTTTCTGGGGCTCCTTTGTGGAGCTGTTACCCCCACAGAGAAGGTGCCTGTACCATTCAGAGGAGAGAGTTTCACCACCAGTGTGGAGTGCCTGATTGACCTTAAAGGGGACCTCAGGATCCAATTTGGAGTTTTCGGTGACCCACCGTGAGAGGGATGCCTGCCATCTGATCTTTGAAGGATCTGACATCTGGAATGATTATTCCTACATGCGCATAACCCATGCGTTTCTGGTGAGTGCGCATTGCTATTATTTGAGGCCGCAAGAGCTTTGGAAGTTTGCACCCTTTTAAAGGAAACCATGGATATTATTACACTGACTTCTTACTGTTTTCAGTTTAATTTCTTTAGCACTGTACCATACTACCCATGTTTTATATTTTGCATTTAGAGGCATTGTGGTTGCCTTAGGTGTTCTAGCTGCTGTGTTTATACAAGAGCGCTCACTACAATCCACTTTTGATTTAGAGGTGTAAAAGTGCCTGGTAGGACTTCTGCAGATGGATGTTGACGTGCATCTGGTATCCAGGAGCAGCTGGTGGATGGTACACTGGCAGAAGTGCAGGAGCAGTTGACGGTTGGCATGCTGGCAGGAGTGCAAGAACAGCTTGGCAGACTACGCACTGGCAGAATTTCAGGAGCAGACTGGCAGATGGCCCACTGGCAGAATTGCAGGAGTCGGATACTGGCAAGGATCAGCTGGTTCGGGTGCAGGAGGCAGAGTAAGGCAAGATCAGATGGTCAGGGTCGGCAACTAGCAGGCAGAGCAAGCATAAACAGTAGGCAGAAGAATAGTCAAAGGGCAGGCCAGGGCTCAGTACAGGCAGCATTCATAACAGATGAGATTGGCAACGGAACCACAGGTAACAGTATGTATGGGTGCTCAAAAGTAATAGATCAAACAGCACTAATGCAAGGCACTAGCCAGGCTTAAATAGCCAACCTGGCACCAATGCACCGTCATGCATGCGCACTTCCGTGCACTCATGTGCATTTGCTGTTCGGGCACAAGCAGGGCTAACAGGGTTTCTGCTCCTGCTCATAGATATGCACATTCCCTGACAGCCTCCCTTGCACTACTGCATGCTCTGCAGGCTCTTCCTACTTGTGCCACTGGAAGCCAAGGATCAAGGAAGTGGTTAAACGTATAACCTGGATTTCTAGACTAGGAGATTGGCATTCAGCTGCCTGTATCTCATATGTATCTAATATACCTGGTTACCTGGATTTGCAGTAGCCTCAGCTGATACACAGGGGTAGATGTACTAAAGTGAAATAGGCTGTCACTTTACAAGAGAATTTATACTTTACAAGGAAATTTTCTCTTAGCTTAGTCAATGTGGTGAAAATTCACTTTGTAAAAATACCTATTCCTGTGCAAAGGAAATTAAAAAAAAGAGCATTTTTGCTTGAACACAATTGGATGAATGTCAGCAGAGCTTTACCTCATTCGCTAAGCTAAGGGAAAATTCCCTTGTGAATTGAGAAATCTCTTGCAATGTGAACATCCTATTTGCCTTTAATAAATCAAATCTATAAACTCAGTCTGAACTGCTCAGGTTTATAAACAGTTTAATTTCAAAAGGCATTGAAGATTTCTAGAGAAGTATATTCACAAAAACAGCTTAAGATGATGCCACATTCATCTGAATTAGTTCCAGGAGCACTTTGCTATGACCTTCTCTTCAATCCTGTTCCTGTCTCCATAAACTCTGCCTTTGTGTTGTATTACAACAGAGTTAATGTAACGTGCAGTAAGCACTGGAGTCTATTCATGTGTACTACTCCTTCGGTTATCCTCTAGTGAGGTTGTAAAGCTGACACAGACAAAATTTGATGCACAGGTTATTTAGCATGCATAAGATTATTATTAGAAAATGATATTGCATAGCTTTACACTTATGTTGTTTATAACAGATGAGAGTGTTATATTTCCCTTTTTCTCCCCTGTTATGCAGTAGCTCCTAGGTGTTAATTAGGTTAGGTTGTTAAAGATAAGCAGACTCCTGCAATATCTTGCAGGGAATAAAATCAGTGCCTTTTATTACTGAGAGGCAGCTCAAGAAATTAAGCAGAATTAAGTATACTTTTTTTTGTAATAAATTATTTCCATCTTTGTTTAATTGTCTTACTGAGCAGGCAGTGAGCATTGGGAATTGCTTCTTTGGAGCTGCTACCCAGGCTTTCTTGTTGTTTTAGCGAGTTGTACCATGTGCACTTCAGTACAAAGAGGTGAAGATTAATGATGGGCCGAACACCCCTGTGTTCAGTTTGCGGTCGAACGTTCAACTGCGATTTCGAATTCATTGCAAGTCTATGGGGCTTGAACTTGTAAAATCAAAAGTGCCCATTTTGAAGGCTTATATGGAAGTTATTGGACATAAAAGGGGTATGGGGACTCGGGTACTGCCCTAAAGGACATGACTCAGTGAAAATTTTTTTTAAAAAGTACAGTTTTTAAAGAGGCAGTTATTTTTTATTGCTTAAAGTAAAAAGAAAACAAAAAGGGAAAGAAAAATTACTTTAACCCCTTGGCACCTGCGCCTACCAGCTCTTTAAGGGTTTCAGAAGCCAGGAGGCGGGGCGGGGTTTTAGGGTCATGTGACCGCCGTGATTCACCATCACGGCAGTCACATGATTGGGAAAGGTCCCGATCGAAAGAGGAGATCGGGATCTTTCCGTGAGTACCGGACACGTGTGCTGGGAGTGCGCACGGCACATGCTCTCAGCACATATGTTTTTCTTAATTGCATACAAATGTGCGGCCGCTCAGCGTGAAAGCCCAGATGCCAGGAGGCCGCACATTTGCGTGTGGCCGGCGCGAAGAGGTTAAATATCATGCTTGGAGGGTCCCTGTAAACTACCTGCAAAGTTGCAAGTCTGTACAATGTATGTTTTTTTTCAAATGACATTTTTATTAAAAAAAATAAATTGTGTGGGGGACCCTGCAATCCGTACCAGGCCCATTAGGTCTGGTAGGAAGGTTAGGAGGGACCCCACAGTACAAGATTTAAAAACAAAGTACACGGGGTTCCCTCTATAAGCCCTACCAGGCCCTTTAGGGGTGGTGGGACTTTTAAGGGGAACCCTACCTTCCAAAAATGGGGGAAAGTATGTGGGGTTCCCCTAAAAGCCATACCAAAAATGAGGGTGGGGTTCCCCTCTAAAATGCTACCAGACCCTTGATCCGAGCACAGGCCTGGCAGGGCAGGAACAGGACAAGGGAGGGTGATTGAGCGCCCCCCCTTCCTGTGATTGAGCGCCCCCCCTCCCCAATGGGGACAAGAGCCTTTTCCTCACAACCCTTGCCCCGTGGTTGTGGGGGTCTGCGGGCAGGTGGCTCATTAGCATCAGGATACCACTTTAACCACCTCCCGCCCACCATAAGGAAATGACAGGCACAAGGTGGTTCTCTCGTTCTGGGAGGACATCATATGACATCCTCCCACTCTAACTGCATGTGCGCGACGATCGGTGGTGCGCTGTGTCCCAGGGACACAGCGGATCACCAATCATTCGAAAGAGCCGATGACGTCGGCTCTGTCATGTGATCAGCTGTGTCCAATCACAGCTGATCGCATGTAAATAAGGAAATGCCGGTTATTATCGGCATTTCTCTCCTCATGAGCTGTCACGCTGACCGCTCCAGAGGAGAGGAGAGCCGGTAATCGGCATTACTCAGAGGGGTCATGTACATTGATCATCAGGGCACTGATGATCAGTGTGCCCTGATGATCAGTGTAGCCCATATCAGTGCCACCTGTCAGTGTACAGCAATGCCACCTGCCAGTGCCCATCTGTGCCACATCAATTCCACATATCAGTGCCTACGAATGCATAGCAATGCCACATATCAGTGCCCATCTGAGATGGCTTTCAGTGTCACCCATCAGTGCCAGTGAGTGCCACCTATAATTTCCAGTCAGTGCCACCTATCAGTGCCAGTCAGTGCCGCTTATCAGTGCCCGTCAGTTCCGCCTAACAGTGCCACCTAACAGTGCCAGTCAGTGCCACCTATCAGAGTGCCAGTCAGTGCTGCCTATCAGTGCCATATATCAGTGCCCACCAGTGATGCCTGTCCATGCTCATCAGTGCGGCCTACCAGTGCCTCCTCATCAGTGCCTATCAGTGCCGCCTATCAGTGCAGCCTATCAGTGTCCATCACTGAAGCCTCATTAGCGCACATCAGTGAAGGAGAAAAATCACTTATTTACAACATTTTATAACAGAAACTAAGAAAATACTTTTTTTTTTCAAAATTTGCTGTTGTTTTTGGTTTGTTTAGCAAAAAATAAATAAACCCAGAGGTGATTATATACCACCAAAAAAAAGCTCTATCTGTCTAAAAAAAATGCTAAACATTTCATATGAATACAATGTTGCATGACCGTGCAATTGTCATTCAAAGTGCGACTGAAAGCTGAAAATTGGCCTGGGCAGGAAGGGGGTATAAGTGCCCTGTAGGCAAGTGGTTAAATAAGGGGGCACCCTGATGCTGCCTGCCCTTGTGAATCAGTAAAGGGTACTTGTACCCCTACCCATTCACTAAAGGGTTAAATTCAGTAAAAAATAGAGACCAGTCTTTTGAAAAATTCCTTTAATTGAACAAAAAACAAAACAACAGTTATTGACAAGTCCTTTAATAAGAAAGCCCAAAAAATGGCTCCATCATTGTAATCCATCATCAATCACAAATAGGCGTTCCGCCGACGTCATCGCTAGCTCCATCCAATTGTTTAACTTGTCAAAATCTGTTGTTTTGTTTTTTGTTCAATTAAAGGACTTTTTCAAAAGTCTGGCGTCTTTATTTTTTTCTAAATTTAAACTTTTAGGGAACGGGTAGGGGTATAGGTACCTCTTACTCATTCACAAGGGGTTGGGGGGGCTGTATCAGGGTGCTCCCCTATTTAAGGGGGTACCCTGATGCTAATGAGCCCCCCTGCCTGCAGACCCCCACAACCATGGGGTAAGGAATGTGGGGAAGAGTCCCTTGTCCCCAGTGGCTTGGGGAAACTGTCCCAGTGCCGACGACACGTGACCTCGTAAGCCGCAGGGAGGGGGGGTGCTTGTTCTCCCCCCCCCTTTTTTGGCCCTGCCAGGCCTGTGCTCAGATCAAGGGTCTAGTAGTAAATTAAGAGGGACCCCATGCTTCCCCCCCATTTTATGGGGGTGGGGTTCCCCTTAAAAGTCCTACCATGCCTAAAGGGTCTGGTATGGCTTTTAAGGGGAACCCTATGCACTCTCCACCCCCCCCCCCCATTTGTGGGAGGTGGGGTTCCCCTTAAACATTCTACCAGGCATAAATGGCTTTCTGGGGGAACCCCACGCACTTTATAAAAAAAAATTACTGTGGGGTTTCTCCTAACCTTCCTCCCAGACCTAAAAGGCCTGGCATGGATTAAGGGGGAACCCACGCTTTTTTTTTAATTTGTTTTTTTTTCCCTTTCAATCATTTTTATTGTTTTTTTTTACATTTTTAAATACAACTCGACCACATTCTAATACAGAAACAGGATCATAACTTTGAACAGATGTTAACAGTGGTCTCATACAAAGGAAGTATAATTAGAATGAATAACATTCAAGATAACTTGTCAAAGGAGTAAAAATAAACATACATTTTGTGTCAGTCAATTGAATAGTACACAAAGAGCTGCCTGTTTGTACTTCAACAGCCAACATCGGTAAAAAAGGCTATATCATTTAGGATACTTATATGTTAACAGAACAAGAGATTTGTAAAGCACCTCATGGTACATAGTTACATAGTTAATTATATAGTTACATAGTTACATAGTTAGTCTGGCCGAAAAAAAAAGACAAAAGTCCATGCAGTTCAACCATTACAAAAAAAAAAGTTAAAATCCTCTACCTATTGTTGATCCAGAGGAAGGCAAAAAAAAACCTAGCAAAGCACGATCCAATTTGCTCCTGCAGGGGAAAAATCCCTGCCTGATCCCCCGAGAGGCAATCGAATATTCCCTGGATCAACTTTACCTATTAATGTTAGTATCCAGTTATATTCTGTGTATCCAAGAAATAATCCAGGTGTAAGGGATTTCCGGCAAGAAGAATCGCGATCGGGAACGCGCATGCGCGAAAGAGATCCCGCAGAAGAATTGCCGGTTGTGCGCAGGAATGCGCGATCGCGCACATGCATGCACACGTGCACACGCACGGCGAAGATTGGCACCAGACAGGCTATTTAAGGTGCGCCTCTGCCCAGATTCAGTGCTGACTGGTATTCAGCTCCCTCCCGTGTCCTGCTTGTTCCTGTGTGATTCCTTTGGTTCTGAGCCGGCTTGTTCCTGACCCGACTCTGAGTACTCTCCTGTCCCCCGGTTCCTGACTTTGGCTCTGATCCTGACTTTTTACTTTTGATCCTGTACCGCGCTGCCCGACTGTTATGACCCTGGCTATCCTACGACTCCGCTCCAGTTCTGTGTCCTGGCTACATACCTGGCTCTGCTGTGCATCCGGAAATCCACCGTACCTGCCTTGTCTATTTCTACAGTACCCAAATCAGAGGATATCCTGCCTACCAAGGTCATCATCCGCAAGAGCCACAAGCAAACCTCTGGCGCTCTTGTCCCCCTGGTCCCTAGACTCCCTCTGTTCCAACCTCAGCGGGATCAGGACTAGTGACACAAGTGAGGCCGACCTCGTCAATTCAGTCTCCTATCAGGTACGTGACAGTACCAGTCAGCCAATGATGGAGTCTGAAAGGGAAGCCTCACAACTGGGGGACATTCGCCAAACTGTGACTTCCTTGTTCAACGTGATACACGACCTACAGATAAACTTCAAACACCTGGAGAGTAAACTGCTAACCGACTCTAATGTCCTCCCAGACACAGTAACCTGTGGTACAGCCACTCAAACAGAGACCAGTATGATCCTTGAAACCTCTGTCCTACTGGAACCCCGGGTACCTATGCCTGAGTTCTTTACAGGAGATCGCCGGAAGTTCAGGACCTTTCTTAATTCCTGTGAGTTATATATTTCCCTACTCCCCAGGACCTTCTGCTCACCAAGTATTAGAGTGGGGTTTGTCATCACCCTTCTTAGAAATGAACCCCAGTCCTGGGCATACCATCTTCGTGAACAGCATGATCCGGCCCTAACCTCTGTGGATTCATTTTTTTTAGCAATGGCACAAGTCTATGCAGATCCCTTCCAGCGCCAAACTGCGGAATCTATGATCAGTAAGCTACAACAAGGCCAAAGGCCTGTGGAAGATTATGTCACTGACTTCCGTATCTGAAGTTCTGATACTCAGTGGAATGAGTCTGCTCTCTGCTATCAGTTCTGCCTTGGTCTTTCTGACACCCTGAAGGATGAGCTGGGCTGAGTGGGGGTACCAACAAGATTGGAGAGTCTGATAGACCTAACGATCCATATTGACCGTTGGATTCGGGAAAGGTTGAATGAAAGGACTAATGGGAAACTTTTGTTATGCCCTGAAGTTGGGCCCCCGCTATGAATGTTGTCTCGTCTGAATCGCCCACCAAGCTAGAAGGAGCTTTTGTAGACCACAGTTATCCGCAGCAGAACGTCTCCGATGGCAGAAGTCTAATCTCTGCCTCTACTGTAGTGAAGCAGGACACTTCGTGGCTACCTGCCCGATCAAACCTCACAAACCTTCTCCCAACTGCTTCCACATGATGCATCCTCGGGCAACTAACCGAACACACCCCTCTTTTCATCTGCAACTACAACTGGCCAAAAGGACTATCACGGTCCTGGCCATCATGGACTCAGGTACCTGTAGCTGCTTTATGGATTGTCATTTTGCTACTCAGAATCAGATTCCTCTCCGCACTAAAACACAAAGCTTGCAGTTCATCTGGCAGATGGGTCTGGTATCAGTTCTGGTCCGGTAACACAAGAAACCTTGCCAATATTTTGCTATTGTCTTTCGGGACACCAAGAATTCCTATGTGTGGATATTATCACCTCCCCGCTTTTTCCAATTATCCTTGGTTAAAAGCACACAATCCAACCATCAATTGGTTGTCCAGAGAGATCTCTTTCCCTTCTGAATATTGTCGAACTCACTGTACTCTCAAGGAGACAGGTGTAACAACCCCTCTTCTCAGTATTCACTCCGATCCTGAAACCATGAAGCTTGTCCCTACAGCATACCACAAGTACCTGAATATGTTCAATAAAAAGAATGCCAACACCCTTCCTCCGCATCGCCCCTATGACTGTCCAATTGAGCTCCTGCCCGGTGCCAAAATTCCTTTCGGTAGAATTTACCCTCTATCCGAACTCAAATTAAAGGTCCTCCGGGGATATATAGACAAAAGCTTGGAAAAAGAGTTTATTCTGCCCTCTACTTCACCAGCAGGAGCCGGCATATTCTTTGTGGAGAAGGACAGCACTTTGAGACCTTGTATAGACTATCGGGACTTGAACAAAATCACGGTCAAAAACCGTTATCCCCTACTTTGATCCCCGAATTATTTCAAAGGTTACAAGGAGCATGTTTTTTCTCAAAGTTAGATCTGAGAGGGCGCTTACAATCTAGTGAGAATTCGGGAAGGAGACGAATGGAAGACAACCTTCCAAACCAGATTTGGGCACTTTAAATATCTGGTAATGCCCTTTGGTCTCTGTAACGCCCCAGCAAACCTTCCAACACCTGGTAAATGATGTTTTTTGGGACTACCTGGATTTATTTTTAATTGTTTATCTGGATGATATCTTGGTTTTTTTCATGTTTCATCGAAAGTCATCGAGACCATGTAAAAAAGACACTAAATAGACTATGCCAGCATCACCTCTACGCAAAAGCAGAGAAATGCGAGTTTGAGAAACAATCTATCCAATTCCTTGGGCTGGTGATCACTCCTGAAGGCATTTCTATGGACCCTCAGAAGGTGTCCACCGTCTTAGAATGGCCCATCCCTGAAGGTAGGAAAGCTGTGCAGCGCTTTATAGGGTTCGCAAACTTCTATAGGAAGTTTATCAAGGACTTCTCTGGAATCCTAGC